ACTTTGATACGAAAAAAAAACATAGTACAGTTAATTAGCACTACAAAAGTTTTAATTAAAAGAATTTTCGAGAACTAGGATCAGGTTTATATATGGTGTTTCATGCCAACCTGAGCAGACTGACCGATCCACTTGTTAGTCAAAAATAATAGATCTTTTCCTTTTATTAATAGATTGAGGGACATTTTTGAAAACATACTAAATTTTGTAAAAAATTTAAAAACTACATCAAATATTACAATGATTTGAAAACTCACTTTTGAAGATGAAAATAGACAAAAATACCTTTTTTATTTATTAATTACATATATTAATCAAAAATAAACTAAATTAAAAAATTGACCAATATTCGTAATTAATATTTACAAATTAAAAATTTGAAGAAAATGTATTTATCGTATTTTAAAGTAACAATTATCTTAAAATTTAAATAAATTTAAATATTAAAATATTGTGGTTCTATTACTTTTATTTAATGAATTTATTCAAAAAAAAATAATTGAAAGTTATTTTATTTTATAATATATATATATATATATAATATTTTTGTAGACTTATTTTTTTCAATATTGATTTATTAATAAAGTTGATTTTCTAAACTGTGGATTGAGTTTTTACTTTAGTAGACTTAATTTTCTTCTCCATCGACTTATTTAAAAATAGTTGACTTATGTTATGGTTGATTGATTTATAACATTGTCGATTTTTTTACTATTGACTTAATTTATTTTTTCATCGATTTATAATTTTTTTCTGTAGATTTGTTTATTAAAGGTAAAAAAATATTACACTCTACGTTGACTTATTAATAAAGTCGATATTTTGAATTGTACTTATACAACACATAAATGCCACACTAACAAAAGAGTTCAGTGTTAGTTTGTGTAAGAAGTTGCTATTGCATTTTGTTTCATATATTGCCTTATACAAGTTTTGGATTTTCAACTAGTTCTTTTCTTCTTTTGGCAGGAACCATTTCCTCTAATCTCTTGTTGGTTCTCCTATTCCCAGAGCCGTCGCAAAATATTTTAGGGCTACAAGCTAAAAACAAAAAAAAAAGGCCAAAATATTTTTTTAAAGTATGGAGAATCGAACCCACTACCTACTGCTCCACTTTTTACTACTAAACCAATAGAGCTACAAAAGACTATTGGAAAATTAAGGGCCGAAAAATAAATAAATACAAGAGGGCCGCAAGCACATGCTTCATTAACTTGTGGCTTGGGCCGGCTCTGCCTATTCCTGAAGTTTCAGCTTCTCTTCTCCAAAAGCTTGCTGGCAACTTCCTGCTCTTCTCCATGCATCAATATGCAAACCATTTGGTTCAAGTTGTTGTTCGATCCCGTTCTATTTCAACATTTCTTGCTGTCATGGCCGAAATTGCTCCATCTCTTTCAAAAATGATGACGCATCCCTATGGCAACTATGTTGTTCAGGTTGTGATTAGGAGCTCATCTAGGTTCAACACTCCTTTGCTCTAATTGCTAGAATTTATTTTTTTGTTAGAATTTATTTTTAATTTGTAATATATTTGTAATTTTTGTTAGAATTTATTTTTAAATATTTTTTTGAATAACTTTCCAAATTAGGAAAATTTCTCTATAAATTAATAATTATTAATTTATCGATAAATTAATAATTATTAATTTATCGATAAATTAAAACCTCTATAAATTAATAAATTTTCATGGTCCCAACATTATTAATTTATAGAGGTTTTACCGATATAGGTTATATAGTGATATACTAGTGGAAAATTATCATTTCAAGGTGATAGTTCCTTATATATAGTGATATACTAGTGGAAGATGAAGATTATCATTTCAAGGTGATAGTTCGTTATATATAGTGATATACTAGTTAGGATATATAGTGATATATATTAGATTTTGGGCTTCCAACTTAAAACCAATTGGCAATAAGCGGAGAATGAGTGGAGAAACCGATATCTTTTATATATATCACTTAAGATCCTACTCAACTTCCAATGTGCAATATTGTTATTCATAATAATATACGAGTAGAAGATTATCATTTCTAGCTGATAGTATCAAAATGTGTATACCATAATATCATTTCTTAATTCATTTTTGTATTAAAAAAAACTCTTGTTCAATGTAAAAAATATTTTTTGTGAACTTTTGTCCCATTGTCTTCTCTTTGGTTCGTGAAGCATAGATTCTGCTCTGGCTTGGTGTAATAATCTATACTATTAATTGGGAAGGACAACTTCAAGCCAAACACCCCCAATTTAAAAACAAAATTTCATGAAATATATTCCAATTGCCAAACAGAATTAATGACAGCAAAAAAATAAAAACAACTATCTATATTTATGGAAATAATAATAATCTTTTACCATTAAAAGTGGACAATTAAATTCAAAATTAAATATATGTAAACATATCTATTTTGAATATACATAAACATATCTAATATTAATTTCATATTTTAATATAATTTCGAAATTAATAATTTATATAGAATGAAATCTAATAAAAAATCATCATATATCTAAAAAAACAAAGATAATAGCTTATGAAATAATCAACTAATCAAATTATACATAGTATATATACATAACTGATCATATCATCAAATTTTTTTAAAAATATATAATTTTAAAATTTAAATAAAATTTAAATAAATCAATAATTAAATATTTGTTTGCTAAAATCATGCGAATAAACATTCTAGATCACATAAATTTCTTATTTTCACATAAAAATATTCATATTCAAAAAGCAATCTAGCAATTATAGCACAAAAGATATCTACAAAATTTATCATTCATTCAATTAGTTAATGATTTTTTATTTGGTCAAGCAGTTAGTTAATGATTATTCTAAACTTCTTTTTTCTTATTAATTACACACAATCTTAACAAAATACATCTTCATCCATTGGCAATTTGCATATCATTACTATTATCAAATATTAAATAATTGTTTTATCAAATCATAAAATACATTTTGAGATTATAAACATGTAGAATTTCTATTAAGATTAAAACTAAATAACAAGTGGATATATCACATTTAAATGATTTTAACGACTTATTACCAATTTTTAAATAATAAATGGATTATATTTTTATGATTTAATCTAATTGAAAACAAATAAAATGTCAAATTGGTATGATATAAATGATATAATAAATAAGTATCTACAAACATTATCTCACATATACGTACAATTTTAAACTATCATTGACAGATATAATATATAATTTTTGGATAACCGGTTGAAAAAAAAAATTGGTAGTTATATTTAATTCTAAAAATATCAAAATATTGAACAAAATTCAACTTTGGG